AACTTCCAGAAAAGAATGCAGCCCTCATGACACCTTGATTTTAGCCCAGTGAGACCCATATCAGACTTCTAGCCCATAGACCTGTAAGATAATAAATGTGTGTCATTTAAGCTGAAAAGTTTGTGATAATCTAATCAACATATAGGTAATTATGTGTTTCTGTTTAAATTTGAGGATTTGCCAGGAAAATAGCCAGTTTTTTAATCACATGACTGTGATTTAGTCATCAGTAAGATGCCTTTGCTAATAAAAACTTGCAGGAATAAGCTGATTACTAGCTCAGTTCTGAGTCATAGTTCAAATTACCTTTGGCCAAATTACCAAACCTACTGTTTTCTTTGGGACTGCCAGATGAGGTCTGTAATCCAACTATCACACGTCATTCAACACGGCTAAACTTATAAAATATGAGAATCAAGTGCAGGAATAAGATAATCTATTCCTTCATGGAAAGAACAGGATGAAGCAATAAATGAATGTCTACTGTTTCAAGTATTAGGAGCTTTATAAACATCATATTTAACCCTAACAATTATCTTCTGAAATAGGTACCAATTTTAAAGATGAGAAAATTGAGCCCAAAGAAATTAAGTTGATAACTTTCACACAAACAATAAGTTTTAAAGCCTGGATTCCGACCTAGGCACTTTGATTCTGGAGCTTGTGCGCTTAACCACACTACCCTATCCTGCTCCACTGTACATTTCCCTCATGTGACACCAGTGCTTAGAAGAAACTTGGTTTTAACAGAAGGGGCCTTTCACAGTGAATGAAAAATAGGCATTCTGAAAAGTCCAGAAGTAGATCAATTGGAAAACGAGAAAAGCAAAAATATTTAAAGGTCAAGAAAACTTTCATATCAAAGTAATTAAAGAGTCTTTCCACATTTTTACTTTGCACGTAGCAAGGAAATACAATTAATTCTGCTCAGGCAAATCATACAATTATTCACGCCATTTCAAAGTTTGCTGAAACTGTCCTTAATATAAGCAATTATTTCAGTTTCACAGATGAGTAGCATGATGTTAAAAGACAATTGTCTGTAATGTGTGCATTATTTTTAAATTTGGATGAGTGGGAACAAAGATGGGTGGAAACATCACATTTATTAGAGAAAAATGAAAACATCAAACATAGAAAATTCAAAACTCATTAAAGATTTCTTTTTGTCCAGAAATGAAACTAGCAATAAAGTGCTCTAGATGAAGAGGAAATGGTCCTTGGACATTACCACATGCAATAAAATGACTCACACAATAAGTCTAAAAAAATGAAAACTATCATATTAAAATTATAGCCTTGATTTTAACATATTTATTTGTTATGTCCAAATGAATTTTGAGATAAACAACATCTGATGATTCCAATTCTAGTAACCTATAGGAAACTCAATTATTTATATCATATGAAATGTAAAGTAGCCTAAGTTATGTAATAACAGGTAAGTAATGTTCATAGGAACACTCTTTTTAATAATTGAAAATTTTAAAAAAAGACCTAAGTGTTCATTATTAGAGGAATAGATGAATAAAAATTAAAATACGGTGTAGTCATACACTGGAATGTTGTATAGTAATTAAAATGAGGAGCTAGAGCTATATGTCTCAACATGGCTAGATCTTAAAAATACGAAATTAAAGAAAACTGAGCAAGATTCATACAGTGAAATATCACTTATGCAAATTAAAACATAAAATAAAATTCTATTGTTTATGGATATATATGAAAAAATTAGTGTGTAAAACACTAGACTTTGAAATATACCAAATTCATTAGGGTATTTGTCACAATGAAAGGGAGGAAAAACTCCAAAGGAAATGTTTTATTTATTTTTATTACATAATATCTGAAGCAAATATAATAAAGTATTAAACCAATAGTGGGATCATGAGAATTATATTATTCCTTTTCATTTTCAGTACTTCAAAAGATATATAGAAGTGTTTTTTGAAATCAACTATTTAAACATTTCAGGCAAAATGTATTTGGAATGAATTATTCAGAAAATTATTTCAATTTATCATAATATCTAAATAATTCACTCTCTCAAAGTTTATGATAATCATATAGTCTTATGAAAAATAAATTGAATATAAACCTCTCTGAAGATTTCAAGATCCAGACAATATTGGACATTCTACAGGATTTAATTCAGGAAAGAAAACTGGAAATTTCAAGCTCTCATGAGCTTCATACTCAGTTTTGTTTCACAAATTCCTATTTGCTCTAAGAAAGTGTAATTTTATCTCCTTGTAGAGAATGTCCCCAAGAAGTCAATCTTGGCATTTCACTTTGAGCATCCTGGGACAAAGGAGGTACACTCTACACTTGTGGGTTCATAAATCACTTGTGCAGTGTGGAATAGAACGATTATTCATGGCTGAACTGTATAGACTGGCGTAGACAAAACCAACAGAAAGTACTTAGGCACAAACACATCCAGAATCTGAAAACCTAGTCACACAGAGATCAAATACCTAAATTTAATTTTCTAGAAATTTACCAGGAGCCAAAGTACATTTTAATCTGGGTTATTTAGTGGCATCCCAGATTAAAATGGATATCAAAGGTCATTGAGTTTAACCACTCTTCTGAAGCATGGGAAGGCGAGTTGAACTAGCATATGGTTGGGACTCTGGGGACTCAGTAATCAGCTGCCCTTCCATCATGGAAATGGGCATAAGATTATCTGCTCTCAATCACTGGATTGCTGCCCCTTCCCACCCCCTAATCTGTTCTCCTTTCCACAATCTTGATGATTGTTTCAAAGTACAAATCTGGTCAAGTCACTCCTCTGCTTAAAACTCTTCAATGTCCTTCACTGCTCTCAGGGTCAAGTTGAAACACTTTAACATGACTTACCAGCTTTGGCCGGTCTGACTTCAGTTTATCTCTCCATCCTCATTTTAGCACACCCCCTTTCTTGCTCTAATACTCTAATCAGGGTTTCTTCACCTCAGAACTAGTCTATTGTAACTAATCACTTACTAGGGCATATCTACCATCTAGTCTGTGATCTCCTCCACGAGGACAGAGATCACATTTATGCTGTTCATAGTGGTAACATCAGTACCTACCATAGTGCTTGGACTACAGCAGGTGCTCAACAAACGTTTGTTGAAAGAAGAGAAGGAGGGGGGAACAAGGGAAAGAGAGTGGAAAAGATTTATTTCGAGGATAGACCAAATGTAAAAATACTTTTATAAAGTAATAGTAGGAATTACATGATGTGGCCAATTAGAGAAAATATCTTTCATAATCTAGCCATATGGAAGCTCAATATGTCTAGCTAGGGCTCCATTTGATTTTGGGGGCAGGGGCAGACAATACCAGAACAAGATGTTTCAGTGCTTGCAGTAGTCAAAATGATTCAATCCTTCACACCTTATTGATCACCAAGGATCATTGCAAACTCAATTAATGCAAAAAATATTATGAAAACTCAGAGACAGCACTCAAATGCACAGACCCTGTGTGGCTTGCAGAGTTTCTTTTATTGGTCACACGTAAACAAAGCCAGCTACAGCTATGCTGTCTAAGCTCAGGGCATGAACTTCTCACACAGTTGATCCATTCTTTATACATCACTTTTTAAAATGGAGTTTCCACAGCAGATGTAAATCTACACTAAGTTTCACAAACATGGAACATAAGTATTAGCACCATGTTGGGAAAAATCATAACCACGGTAAGAGGACATAGGTGAGGTGGTTGATGTTCAGGAACTTTTCCTCACCCTGTGGTCTAGAGCACAAAGTGTCAGAATCACTGATCTAGAGAAGTTTCCAAAATTCAATTTAATATGAAAATTATTGGCAGATCATCTGTGTTATGCCCAGAATCATGTTAGGAAAATTGGGAGAAATTTAAAAGAAGCAAAAACATTATGTAAATACCTTAAAAATGATAGGTAATTCTTAAGCAACTTTCTCTTGATTCTATTATTTGTAATTTCAGTCCCCTTTCTTATCTGCTCCTCAGGAATCTGGAAATACTTGTCATTCATCTAAAAGACTTCAACATCCCTCTATATAGATGTGATATCAAAAGCTTCAAAGTATCACCATTTTGTCTATTATTGTAATCAACTTTTGTTATTTATATACTCAAATTTTCTGCTTCAGGGTTTTTTATAACCATGTTAATAAAAAATATCAGTGGTCACTATTTCTACTTTACAGTTTTACAATATGATTTCAAAGTTATCTAAATCTTGGCACTAATTAAATAGTTTGCACACCAATGTGTAGCATACAGCCAAAGTCTAACAGGTAGGAGATATTCATACCGTTTTCTCATTCTAGAGAAGTTCATCTTATCAATGCATTTATTCATTAATTCAATAAGTATTTATAGAGTGCTTATTACGTGCTAAACATTTTTTGTGAGATCTGGGGATATAATGATGAGCCAAAACAGACATGGTCCCTGCCCATATGGAGCTTAATATCTAGTGGGTGAGATTACAACTACCAGACACAAAATAAGGATGTTTAGCTGTCAAAAATGTGTAGAGCTGTCAAATATGACCTTTAAGATAGAGTTTTAAGTTTTACTCCATACTCAGCATATATTTAACTTTGGAGAGTCTTTATTTATATTCATTATTCAAAAGAATAAAAACAGACAAACCGTCGTTTCTATCTTATTCCTTTGATTTTTATAAACATTGAGGAACATTTTGAAAATATTAGGATTTCTACTGTAGTGCACATCCTTAACATTTGCTTTCCTGTATTTTAAACAGGCATACCTCAGAAGGACAGAGGCTGTGGCAAATGACAAACCTGTATTTACCTCTCAGTCAAATAAGGTTTTCCACACACTCTCTCAGAGTGCAAATAAAAGTTTGTGACATAATTGCTCTCTTTCAGACTGGGTGGATCTATCATATTATCTTAGAGAACGACAGGATCAAGAAAAAGGACAGAGTCTCATAAATGACAGGATATAGCTCAAGGCCATGCCAACGCCAGGGGGAGGGGCCAGAGAACACTTACTGGTAAGTGGTCGGGCTGACGTTGATGCGCCGAGGGTGACTTCCCGATTCGAATTTGCTTGCCAAAGTGACATTATTTCCAAACAGGCAATATCTCGGCATTCTCACTCCAACAACTCCAGCCAGCACGGAGCCTGAGTGAATGCCTATCCTCATCTAAAAAGAAAGAACAAAGAAAAAGAATATTTTCGTTTGGTATGCAATTATTTTAATGAGAGGTACTCCTAATTATGTAAACCATTAAACTATGAACTTCTCAAAGACAGAGACTGGGTCTTGGTCATTTTTCTGAACCCAACATCTGGACCATTATAGTGCCAATGAACGTGCATGCTGTGGAATAAATGAATGAATGGATTAATTATAGGAAAAAAACAATGTTTAATTTGTCAAATAAATCTGATTACGTTACAAGTTCAATCAGGTTTCATTTGTTATAATATGTTCTAATATACGGAAAATGTATTATTCTCCCTCCAGCTATTTGCACATAAAACCCTATTTTTCCCTTCATAACATCAAACAGAATTATAAATTAAACATTTATAATTGTCTATTTTGCCTAAATGTTGGTTTTTCTCATGAGAGAAGGATCTGTATCTATTTCCTTACTGCTGAATATTCAGCACTTAGTACTCTACCTAGAGCAAAGTAGGCACTCAATAGTAAGTGATGAATGTTGAATAAATTGCCTAAATTCCCTAATATAGAATCAGAATGGAGTTATAGAGAATCCAACCTTTGAGTTAGTCAAGAAGCTTCAAGTAAAAATCCTGAAGAGTAAACTAAGTGCTGTATATTTTAATTGAGAATTACATAAATATTAGTCTGGTCTATACATTGAAGGAGCCCTCAGCATGAAGTTGATATACACCTAAATGTGATTACAGTAATGAAGTTGTATCCACATGGTCTACACCAAAATAACTGAAGCTAATGGTGACCAAGTGGGAGATGACATCCTTAGTTCTAGGAGAATGTGGGTAAGTCTGGGAGAAAGGGAGGAGGAGACTGACCTCAAGATGCCTACTAGGTAAGCAAAGTGTCACCCCTTCGCTACCATGCCTGCTGTTGCTTCTATAGTTGTGAGGACAAAAAGTCACTGAGACTAAACCTCATCATAGGACTGGAGACTTCTGTGTATATCAACCCGTAATGAGATACATTAAAACCAATTTGATCCAGCTGTAGCTCCAAATAACCTCTTCATCTATTTTTTAAAAACTAATTTTAAAATTTATTTGGAAATTCACTATGCTAGAAAGAGCCAAGATACATTTGAGAAAGAAGAAAAAAGGTTGGAATAATTGCCCTACAAGACATCAAGTCTATACATATCTAATTAGTACATAGATATCATAACATTGGTGCATAGATAGAGAAATAGACTAATAGAATAGGTAGCCTAGAAAGAAAGGTGACTGATATATGATAGAGTTGGCATTTCAGATTAGTAAGAAAAAGATGGCATTTGTATTAGGATGCTCTAGATCAACTGTGTCTTCGTGTGGAAAAAAAATTCCAAGTAGATTAAAGATCTTAACGTAGAAAGCACAACTTTACAGCTTTAAAAATAATTGTTTTAATTAAGGTGAAGTTCAATCTGCAGTATCAGTAAAACCCTAAAATATAGATGCCTAAAAAGTATAGACTTTTATTAGTCTCTCAGTAACAGTTCCCAGGTAAGTGGTCCAGATTGTCAGGCAGCTCTCTCTGTTCCCCTCCGTAGTCAGGGACCAGGTGTTCCTCCTCATGTCTTGTCACATATTCCATGCTAGAAAACTTGAAGCTGAATCAGGAACACCCTCATGTTCCAATTTATGATGTGGCAAGATAGATAGCAGAAGTCAAAGGTAAGGGTCAAGAAGTTACCATTTAAGACAATGTTCATTCCTTTGTGTAGATCCAGAGTTATATCTGGTATCATTTTCCTTCTGCCTAAAGACTTCCTTAAACATCTTTTTGTACTGTTAGGTCCACGGGTGATGGATTCTTTCAGCTTTTGTACGTTTGAAAAAGTCTAAATTTTGCTTTCATATCTGAAAGATATTTTCACTGAGTGTAGAATTCTAGGTCAATGGTTTTTTCCCAGTACTTTGGTGATGTTGCTCCACCATCTCCTCCTTTGCATTGTTTCCTATGAGAAATCTGCTGTCAATCTTATTTTAATTCCTCCATATGTAAAATATCTTTTCCTTCTGGCTACTTTAAGTTTTTCAATGCATTGCTAGTTTTGAAAAATTTAGTTATGATTTCCCTTGATGTTGTTTTCTTGATGTTTCTTGTGTTTGGGGTATGTCGAATCTCTTGGATCTGTGGGTTTTATAGGTTTTGTCAAATTTGGAAAATTTTCAGTCATTATCTCTTCAAATATTTTTTCTCTCCCTCTCAGAGACTCCAATTACATGTATATTAGGATGCTTGAAGTATTTCCACAATTCAGTTATCTGTTCATTTAAAATATTTTTTCTCTCTGTTTATTTTGAGTAATTTCTATTTCAACTCTTCAAATTTACTAATCTTTTCTTTTGTAGTGTCTAATCTTTTGTTAATCACATCTAATGTATTTTTTATTTCAGACATTGTGATTTTCCTCTCTAGAAGTTCAACTGTGGATTTCTTTTACCTTTCACATATCAAATTAACTTTTGAACATATGGAATACAGTTAAAAAACTGTTTTAATACTCTTGTCTGCTAATTCTAACGTCTGTTTCAGTTCTCTATCAAGTCTTGGTTGATTGATTTTTCTCATCATTATAGGTCATATTTTTCAGCTTTTCTTCATGCCTGGTAATTTTTGGTTGGATGTTAGACATCATAAATTTGACTGTGTTGAGGGCTGGATATGTTTATATTCTTATAATTATTCTTGAGCTTTGCCCTAGGATGCAATCAAGTTACTTGGAAACAGTTTTTTCCTTTCAAGTCTTGCTTTTTATGATTTGTTAGGCAAGGCTTGAGCAGTGTTTTATGCAGGGCAAATTATTCCCCACTACTGAAGCAAAAACCCTTGAGTACTGGACCCAATGCTGATGATATATGAGGTTTTCCAGTCTTCCTGATGGGAACAGGCATTTTTTCCAAGTCCTGTGTGAGTGCTGGGAACTTTTCCTTCTAATTCTATCAAGTGTTTTTTCCCCCCTGAGCTCAGGTAGTTTTCTCACATACAAACAATAAGTACTTTGCAGAACATATAAGAGGCCCCTTGGAAGCTCTCTGGTGGTCTTTATGCAATCCTCTCCTTGCTGGTACTCTGTCTGTGACCTCTCACCTCCTCGGTCTCCCCAGTCTCTCAGCTCCATTTCTTTGACTCTGGGAGTTTGTTGGATGCCTCCCAGTTTGCTCCTCCCTGCACCACAGACTGGAAGTCTCCCAAGGCAATGTGCCAGGGAAATCATGTTTCATCTTACTTGTTTCTTATCTCTCAGATTGCTATCTTCCACTGCCTAGTATCTAGTGTCATGAAAACTATTCTTTTGCATATTTTGCCCAGATTTTTAATTGTTTAAGGTGGGAGTATAAATCTAGGACTTGATACTCCATATTGGCTGACAGCAGAAATGAAATATACTTTTTCTAAGAAAGTAAACTATCCGAAAAATTTAAGCCTATTTCTTATGAGAGATTATCTATTTGGATTTAAGGGTGAAAAAAATGCTGAATAGTAATATCCCTTTTAAATAAGATAAGTGTAAATCACTTTTCTTTAAAGTTAGCAAAGTATTTTCCAATATTATCATATTTATTTGGGTTTCTCTTTGCTTTCAGAAGGCCTATTTATATTAAATTACCTTGTGCGATACAGGCTTGCCTAAAAAACACCCAGATCTTAGATATTAAGATTACCAGTTTGGGCCTGTGATCACTGTAGTGATCTTTTTAAGCAGGAGGAGAGCAGAAGTGAGTATCACATTCACACATTTCACAGCATCTTTATTCTGTGCTTTTTGTTTGAGACAAAGACTCTACACCTCACATCAACTATATAGAAGGCTTATATACTTCCACATCTACCTCCCTTCAAAAGACCTGAGGCTACTTTTTTTTTAACCAAATTGTCAGAATGAGAATCATTATAACTGAAAAATGCTGAAGATAAAAACCCTGAAAACTGATATCCTTGAGGAGCTGGATGGAGAAATGGTTATTTAAAAAAAATTCTTATCTCTTAGAAGGCCACCTAAAATATGCACAAGAATATCAACAACCACAAAAATAGCACAGATTCACTGTCGTTCTCACCACCCTATAATGGAACAGGACACAGAGAATTATTTAATCTTGGAAGTGAGGACAGACCATTGGGAACTTACAAGCTGAATCATCAGACTCCATTTTCTTTTGCAATTCTTTTGACAACTTATCGAAATTTCTCAGGAATTGTTGCCTATATAAGGAAGTCACTGATTGCCTCATTCAGAATATGCCAAGAGCATCTAGCAGTTAGACAAAATAGAGAGATACATTTAACTATCAATGAGGGATTTAGATTCATTTTGGCAAGATTTAACTTTATTTAAATGGGTTAACCAAGCAGTAATATTTGCATCCATCTGGCCAATGTGCCATAGCTAAAGAGGATTGCTTTGCACTAAACCAGTGGTTGGCAACTGAGGCCATTTGTGCCCCTCAAGACATTTGGCAATGTCTTGAGACATTTTTTATTTTCACAACTGGGGTGGGGAGCTGCTACTGGCATCTACTCAGTAGAGCTAAAGATTCTCAGGACAGCTTCCGCACAACAAAGAATTTTCTAGTCAAAATATCAGTGCCAAGGAGAAACCCTGCACTAAGCAGACCTCTGGCAAGCCATAAAAAACTTAGTAGACCAACATACATAAAAAATCAAATAATAAATGCTTTAATTAGATCAAAGCTTTCATGAATATCATTAGACATCACTTTTTAGAGAAAGTTCATGAAAAAAAGTATTTGTCCCAGGGATTTATCGAAAAACATAATAACCTTAGGATCTATCTTGAGGTTAGGGTATCTATTACCCAATCTCCTACATCTGTATGAACTATATGAAATAATACAAAAATCTGGGACACATCAAAGTCCCCAATTATCAAAGGATTCAGTTATTCTCATAATACTCCACTGATTATTTATTAAGCCAAGGCACATCAACAACTGCAGTTTTAGATAACA